CCAAATTTAGGGCATCAGCTCAAGGGGAAGGCTTTTTCTCTCCATTGGCCTTCTTCTCTTCGGTGTTCCCCAGGACTAGGAGCTTCTCTGAGCAGGGATCCCTATCCAAAGGACGCGCTCTGCTCCCAGCACTGCTTTCTTGATGGTATGAGGTCCCCAACTCTCTGCTTGCTTCCCCTTCCTTTTATGTCTTGAGAGATAAAAGGTGGTGCAGGCCACACCCCAGGGAAACTCGCTTTACATTGGATCAGGGATGTGACCTGGGTAAAGGTGGTGTTACAATCCCACCCTAATCCTCTTTAACATAAAATTACAATCACAAAATGGAGGCCAACCACACAATTCCGGGAATCATGGTGCAGCGAAATTGATACACACATTTTTGGGGGGACATAATTCAAACCATGACAATAATATAATACAATACAATAATAATAATATAATACAGTACAGTGTAATACAGCAATAAGAATGAACTACAACTGCACTTGCTGATATGAATAATCTCACAAAAATAATATTCAAAAAGGAAGCTAGACACAAAAGAATACATACGATATGATTCCATTTATATAAAGATCAAAAACAGACCAAACTAATCTATGATGTTAGAAGTCAGGGTAGAGGCTACTCTTGGAAGGCAACAGTAGGAACCTTCTAGGGGAGCTCGACATGTTCTGTTTCTTGATCTGTATTCAGGTTACATGGGGTGCTCACTATGTGAATTATGATTTGTTCATTTTTCTGTAGATATAATATACATCAATAAAAAGTTTATTAAAAAATACAAAATACATTTCCCCACCTCCCAGCTCCTAGATAGTTCACATAGTACCAAAGATATTATGTCATATATGTTATTTATTATTGTCTTTTTGTTTACATTAAGGAGCCCTGGTGGCAACATGGTTAAGCGCTTGCTGCTTACCAAAAGGCTGCCCGTTCGAAACCACCCAGCAGTTCTGCAGGAGAAAGACCTGGCAATCTGTTCCTATCAAGATTATAACCTGGGAAACCTTATAGAGCAGTTCTACTCTGTCACATGCAGTCACTATGAGTTGAAAATCAACTCGATGGCACCAAACAACAACATTGCTCACATTTACCTTCAATCCACCAGAGATGTATTTTGTATACTGTGATAGGCAGGTGTGATCATAAGGTTGTGGGTCAGCTTGGTGGGGCCGTGATTCTCAGTGGTTTGGCAGTTATAATGTAGTTTGGCAGTCGTATGATGATGTAATCACTGCCACGATGAGATTGGATACAATGTGATTACCTCCATGATGGGATCTACTGTGAGTAGCCAATCAGTTGAAAAGGAGTATCCTTGAGGGTGTGGCCTGCATACAATATAGGTGGAATTTCTAGCAAGGCTTGCTGGATTTTGCTCGCTCTGGATCCTACAGCTGGCTCCTCCTGGTCATCTGACCTCCAGTTCTTGGGACTTGAGCTAGCAGCTTGCCTGCTGCTTGGGATTTGTCAGCCTCTGCCACCTGGATCTTGGGTTCACCAGCCCCTGCAGCTATGTGAATCAGGAGAAGCCTCCAGCCTGACCCACAGACTTGGGACTTTCCAGCCTCTACAATCACGTGAGCCATTTCCTTGATATAAATCTTTCTCTCTCTGTCTATATATATATGTACATATATATATAGACACTTCACTGGTTTTGCTTCTCTAGAGAACTCAGCCTAAGACAGCAGGCTTCTAAGATGGCCCCCAGTGATTCCCATCTCCTGATATTCATGACTTTATGTAATCTCCACCCCCTTAGTGTATGTAAGCTGAACCTAGTGACTTGCTTCTAACAAACAGAATGTGGCAAAGGAGATGGAATGTCACTTCTGAGATTGTTACAAGAGACTGCCTCTTCTCTCTCCCTCTCCCCCTTGCTTGCTTACTCTGATGAATCAAGCTGCCATGTTGTGAGCTACCCCATGGAGCCTTCCACATGGCAAGTGTTAAAAATAATCAAAACTCAGTGAAATTTGAACATAAGGTTTATTCTGAGCAGTTATTTTATATGCACATAGGGAGACCGTTCTGATTCCAGAAAAAGCAAATGGCTCAAAGAAGCTAGGTACAATGAGGCTTATAAAGAGAAGAAAAAAAAATTGCCATCGAGTCCATTCCGACTCATAGCAACCCTATAGGACAGAGTAGAACTGCCCTATAGGGTTTCCAAGGAGTGGCTGGTGGATTCAAACTGCTGACCTTTTTGGTTAGCAGCCAAGCTCTTAACCACTGTGCCTCCAGGGTTCCATAAAGAGAAAAGGAGGGAGAAATACAGATGATCAACTATTGCCTTAACATGACTGATTGAACCCCGCCCTCCCCCTTTTACTGAGATCAACGGATATCAGGCCACAGAATGGTCTCTGGCCCTCCACCCAGCCATATCTTTTGAAATTCAAACTTAGTAAGGAGCCCTGCTTGCTCAGTGGTTAAAGAGCTCGGTTGCTAACTGAAAGGTTGACAGTTCAACACTGTGCTATCGGGTCACTATGAATCAGAATCAACTTGACAAACCAAAGGGTTTGATTTTTTGGTTTGGCTTTGAACAGGAACAGGAACAAAACGATTTGCAACTTTGGGTGAAAGAAAAGCCACTGGCAGGTTAATTTTGGTCAGGGGCTTCCTTAGAGTGAATATTTGGTTTCGTGAGTAAGAAAACACTTCAATCAAAGCAAGATACCTGCTATCAGTTTCTCTTTGCCACAAGGAACCAAGGGCAGCCTCTAACCAACAGCTCATGAGGAACTGGGGCCCTTAGTCCAACAGCCCAGAAGGAACTGAATCTTGCCTTAGTCCAACCATATGAGCAAGCTTGGAAGTGGATCCTTCCTCAGTTGAGCCTTAAGGTGACTGCAGCCCTTACAGACCAGCATTGCAGCGTGTGAGAGACTCTGAAGCAGAGTACCCAGCTAAACTGTGCCTGGATTCCTGACCCACAGAAACTGGGAGATATTAACTTGTTTTAAGCCAGTAAGTTTTGTGGTAATATGCTATGGAGCAGTAGACAACAAATACATATATGGTATAAGAAAGGGATCTAATTTTTTCTTCCTAATGCGTAGCCAATATGGATCACTGGTGGCACAGCGATTAAGCACTCGGCTGCTAACCAAAAGATCAGCAGTTTGAACCTACCAGCTGCTCTGCGGGAGAACGATGTGGCAGTCTGCTTCCATAAAGGTTACAGCCTCGGAAACCCTATGGGGCTGTTCTACTCTGTCCTGTAGGGTTGCTATGAGTCAGAATTGATTTGATGGCAATGGGTTTTGGGTTTTGGAGTAGCCAATTGTGCCAGATCAAACCAAACCCATTGCCGTTGAGTTGATTCCGACTCACAGCAACCCTTTAGGACAGAGTAGAACTGCCCCATAGGGTTTCCAAGGAGCAGCTGGTGGATTCGAACTGCTGATCTTTTGGTTAGCAGCCGTGGCTCTTAACCACTGAACCACCAGAGCTCCAATTGTGCCAAGTCAGTTATTAAATATTCCAATGAATTAATACACCATCTTTGTAATTTAATAACTTCTCGCACATACTGATAAATACCTCTGAATTCTCCATTCAGTATTAACTGATGTATTTATCTATTTGTCATTTCCAGTGCTAAAATTGTGTTGCTATTGTGGTTTTACAGTATGCTTTGGTATCTGGTAAGACAAGACCCTTCCACTATTCTTCATTTTCACACTTTTCTTGACTATTCTCTGGTATTTTTCTTACATATGATCTTTAAGATTATTTTAGCCAATTAAAAACAACCTTTGGATTAATAATAAGAATTTCATTACACCTACATTTTTGTTTTGGGAGAATTGACTTCTTAACTATATTATGTCTTCCCATGGATCACTGGTGGCACAGTGGTTAAGCACTCAGCTGCTAACCAAAAGATCAGCAGTTTGAACCTACCAGCTGCTCTGTGGGAGAACGATGTGGTAGTCTGCTTCCATAAAGGTTACAGCCTCGGAAACCCTATGGGGCTGTTCTACTCTGTCCTATAGGGTTGCTATGAGTCAGAACCGACTCCACGGCACATAACAACAGCAACGATGTCTCCCCACGAAGGGACATATCTTTTCATTTACTCACATTCTGTTTTGTGTCCTTCATAAGATTTTATGGTTTTCTTCATATAGATCCTGTGCCTTTCTAGTGGAGCCCTGGTGGCACAGTGGTTAAGAGCTCAGCTACTAACCAAGAGGTCGACCAGTTAGAATCCACCAGCTGCTCCTTGGAAACCCTATAGGGCAGTTCTACTCTGTCCCATAGGGTCACTATGAGTTGGCAACGGGTTTGGTTTTTTGGTTTTGACGTTTCTAGTTAAATTTCCTAAGTATTTTCCTTTTATTGCTATCATGATTGAAATACTTTTCCCATTTCTATTTCCATTTTCTCTGTTGTATTGCTGGGTCTGAGTCTGAATCTCATTTGGAACACTTAAAGTTGCTGGGCCTCAGCTCTTACGTCCGTCCGTAGTGTGAAGACTATCCGTTGTCGTCGAGTCCATTCTGACTCACAGCGACCCTATAGGACAGAGTAGAACTCCCCCATAGGGTTTCCAAGGCTGTAATCTTTGCGGAACAAGACTGCCACGTCTTCTGGCAGAGCAGCTGGTGGATTGAACCTTTCGGTTAGCAGCCGAGCCCTTAACCACTGCGCCCCCAGGGCTGCTTATGTGAAGACTAAAAGAGCTAATACTGAACGTTAAGCACTCGGTACAGTACTTGGCAAGTGGCTGCTAGTAAAATCCCTTTCCCAGGGAAGCTCAGAGCTACTCCTTCTGGGCTGACTGGGTGGAAGACCGCAGCGTGAAGGATGCAGGTGGGTGATGGGGGGGGCAGGAGACGGAAAGGAATACAGGTTGAGGTTGCGCCCAAGACTCGCTTACTCAACTGGCCCAGCCCGGGGCGGAGTCTTCTCGGGGCCGGGCGGGTGCCCGTGCCGTCCCCTGGAGGCACCAAGGAGCCCCGTCAGCGAGCGGCCGCCCACGGTGCGATGCCGAGCGAGGCCCCGGGGCCTGGGCCGTGGCCTCCGCTCCTGCTTCGGCTAGTGGCGCTGCTTGGAACGCTGGGGCCACAGGTGAGAACCGCGGGCGGACGCGGCACCTGCAGAGCCAGGGCCGCGGGGCTCGAGAGCTGGGGCGTGCGCGGGACGGGAGCGCAGCTGGGCACCAGGGGGCGTCTCGCCTTCCCTCCAGCCGGGGTCGCCCCTAGGCGGCCCCCACTAGTGCAAACCTCTTAGGTCTGGGGAGTTGCCAGTTGCCCCCACAAACACCTAGCTGAGGAGACCTGCCAGCGCTGTAAAGCGCAGGTAGACGGAACACCCCGCCCCTTCTGCAGTAGGGGGAGGGGGCTCTGAGTTTACTCCCATGCCTCTTAAACTTCTGGGAGCCCCGAGTCCCTTTGAAAATATGATAACCTTAAGGGTCCCTCTCTTCTGAGAAATGCGCCTACGCACTCAGCTTTGCAGACAGTTTCAGGGGACTTACAACGCGCCTCCTTTGCCCATGACTGGACACCAGGTTTAAGCGCCTCTGAGATAAATAAGCCTGAGGGCATGGGGATCCGGTGCAGCCCTGCAAGAGTGGAAGAACCCGGTCTTACAGAAATTGAGGGAGAAGGCAAAAGACACCCAGCCTAGAATCTAGTTGTCTAGCCTGGAGCCCCAGAATAGTCACAGGGGCCATGGTGGAGGTAGGCGCCCCTTCCAGCTCTGGGTCCATCCCATGTGTGCCATGCAGGAATGTGAGGCCAGTGTGGCTACTGGGTGTTTCCAGGAGAAAAAACAAGAATTATTGGAAATCTGGATTTTATAAAGTGAAAGCTTCTGTTTTTGTCTGTTTGTTTTTAAACTGGCAGCTTATTAAAACAAAATTTTAAACACCATGATGATCAAACAAACTGTCACCTGTGGGCCACCAGTTTACAGCTTCTCTCTATCATTCTGTCTCCTGCCATGTTGCAAACTGAGGGCCAGGAAGGAGAGGGACTAGAAGGCCCTTTCCTGACTCTCCACAAAAAACCATTGGCTCAGCCCCAAAACTGAGGGTCCCAGAGCAGGATGTGGCCTTTGCAGGGTGCGGCTGGGCCACCCGGATGTCAGGGTTCCTGCTGTGAGCTCAGCCTCACCCTGTTTGCTCAGGGAAGGGCTAGAGCAAGTGAGTTAGCCCAGTGGGGGGCCAGATGTAAGGGCAGTTCCAGCTCTCCCTCCCTCAGCCATCCCCACCCTTGGTTCAGGGTGGCCACTGGAGCCTGGCAGCAAAAGTAGCAGGGCTGGTTTCAAGAAGCAAGGGGGTGGGGGTCATCCTAAAAGAGGCAGGATAGCAAAGAAGAGAGAGACTAGGCATTGGAATCCGAGCAATAGTGTTCAATTTCCAGTTCTGCCATTAGTTATCTGTGAGGCTTTAGGCCAATTACATAACCTTCCTGGGCCTAAGTTTCCCTTACCTTACAACCCCAAAACCGAACCCGTTGCCATCGAGTCGATTCCGACTCATAGCGACCCTATACAAGTGGGGAGAATAATAATAACAATTTCATAGGGAGGCTGTAAGGGTCAGCAAAGCAGTTTTGTAAAGGCCTCAGTCTTCTTTGGAGAATGAGAAGGAATTGAAGGGAGGGAGATGGGACTTGCAGACATAGTGGAGCTGGAGCCCCCAGCTTCCTCTGTAACCCCTCTCCAGGGTCAAGGAGATGATGGGTGGAACCAGCAGCTTCCCCAATCATCCTCCCTTCCCTTCTCTGTCCCGCTCCGGGGTGAGAGCAAGGGGTGGTTCCAGGATTCGCAAGGAGCTGGTTTTATTTCCCACGGCAGGTCCAGAGCCTCAGGCCGGAGAGCCTCCTGCTCGTGTCCACCTTGGATGGAAGTCTCCACGCACTGAGCAAGCAGACAGGGGACTTGAAGTGGACACTGAAAGATGGTGAGCAAGGGGCAGCCACGCCTCCCTCCTTGGGCCCCGAATTGGGGGTGTCACTGTGGCATAGAGGATAAGAACATGGGCTCTCGAATCCAACAAACCGGTGTCTGCAGGCAGCTTCACCACCTACCAGCTGTGTGGCCTTGGAAAAGTCACTTTGCCTCTCTGAGCCTCAGTGTCCTCACCTATAAAATGGGCAAATGACTCAACCTAACAAAGTCCTTGGGAGGATTACATGAAGTGATGCACGTCAGGTGTTTGGCTTGGTGTCTGGCGTAACGTGAGCGTTCAGTGAATATGAGCTACTATTTTCAGGGGGGAGTCTGGAGGGGGGCTACTCATGCTCTGTGTCCCTGTTCCTGCAGATCCCATCATCCAAGGGCCAATGTATGTCACAGAGTAAGTAAACCTGGGGCCTTTCGAGGAGAGGGCAGCTGAGAGATGGGGGAGCAATGGTTGTCTGGAGGAAGTCGGGAGGCAAGTTGGAAATAGGGAAGAGAATTGGGAGCTCCCAGGTGTCTCCTACAAGGGCAGCTCCTAGCTGAGGGGCGGGTGGGTGGGAATGGGGGCCTTCATGGAACTAACGGTCATACACCAACCTTCCCCCAATTCCTCTGTTCCCCAGAATGGCCTTTCTCTCGGACCCAGCTGATGGCAGCCTGTATATCTTGGGGACTCAGAAACAACAAGGATTAATGGTGTGTTTCCTATAGTGCTTGGGGCAGGTGAGGGCCAGGGCTTCTGACAGACAGAACCCTGTGGGGGTGAAGGGGGCGGTGTTGTCAGAATCCTGGTGTCCTGCAGACAGATGCTGTAAGTCAGGGTTCTGAGTGCATTATGGGAAGGCTGTCCGGAGGGGCCTTTTGAAAGGCCGTCAGAGTGGTAGGGAGCGACTCTGGCTGTGTCTGCAGAACAGGATGACTCTCAGGCCTCTGATGGTAGCATGGAGACCTCTCCTCCAGGCCTATGAGGGTTTTAAGGAGAAAACTATGTACAAGTTGTTGTTGTTAGCTGCTGTCAAGTCAGCCACTGACTCATGGTGACTCCATGCACAGTGGAATGAAACATTGCTCGGTCTTGTGGTTCGGACTGTTGTGAGCCATAGGGTTTTTGTTTTGGGTTATTTTTTCCCCTCTTTTTTTATTGTTTTGAAAATATACACACCAAAACATCCACCAACATAATAACTTCCACATTAACAATTCCATGACATTGATTACATTTTTCATGTTGGGCCACCATTATTGCCATCCTTTTCCAAAATATTCCACCACCATTAACATAAAGTCAATGCCCCTCTCTAACAAAAACTTCCCCTTTCCCCTTCCCTCTCACCCCTAGTAACCATTAATAATCTTTGGTTTCTATATGTTTGCTTATTTCTATAAATGAGATCATACTGTATTTGTCCTTTTACGACTGACTTATTTCACTCAGCATGTTTTCAATCTGTAGGGTTTTCATTGGCTGAATTTTGGAAGTAGATCATCAGGCCTTTCTTTCTAGTTTGCCTTAGTCTTGTATTGATTATCTTTAGCTAAATAACAAGTTACCCCAAAACTCAATGACTAAAAACACAAACCAGTTATTTAACTCACAATTTTGTAGGATAGCAATTTGGGCTGTGCTCAGCTGGCGGCTCTTCTGCTGGTCTTGGCTGCGCTCTTGCATGCATCTGTGGCCAACTACTGGTCAACTTGATGGTTCTGTTTCTGAAAGTTGGCTGGTGGTTAGCTGGCTTTTGACAGGAGCAACTGAGTGATGTGTCTCTTACCCTCTTGCAGGCAACCCTGGGCTTGTTCTCTGGTGTCAACAAGGCATCCAAAAGCAGCCAAGAGAGGGCAAGCCCGGGAGCACAAGCACTTTTCAAGCTGTTGCTAGTATTGAAACAGCTTATGTCTCATTGGCCAAAGCAAGTCTCATGGTGAAGCCTAGATTCAAAGGGTGAAGAAATAGACTCCACCTCTTTATGGGAGGAGCTGGGAAGTCATAGCTCTAATGGGTATACATACAAGGGGAGGAGAAATTTGTGGCCATTGTTGTAATGTCCCACAAACTGTCAGTTGAGAGGCTTGTGACCCAGGACTCTGGTAGGGGCTAGCACACATGACTGGATTTATCCATAGAATTCTGACTATGCCTTGGGAAGCCTGCCAGAAAGGTCTTAAGTATGTGGTTTAGGAAGCTGAATTGGTAAGAACATTAGTATGTGAATCAAACGGGGTTCCAGCAAGAAACTGGTGGTACACACGAATGGAATAATTTGAGGAGGGTTTATTAAAGGGATTCTTCACAAAAGTATGGGCAGGGTGTAGGAAACCACAAATGATAGCGCAGTATCCTGTGGTGTCTGACAGTAGGGTGCCATTATCAGCCTTAAGCCTGAAGGTGAGAGAAGAGGGCAGTTACCACAACCTGGAGACAGAGCTGTACCAAGAGGGTCACCTGCTGGGAGCTAAAGCCTCTGGTGGAGGGATACAGCCAGCTCATGATGACTCTGAGAGGAAACTGGGGAGGACATACCCTGATCTCACCCTCTCCTCATTGTCTAAACTCAGGTGGAAGCTAGAGCACAGGAGCACCCATTGATATCATCCAAACAAGTCAGTGTTGGGGCAGAGAGCAGGGTGAAGGGTAAGAGTAGTCTCCACGCACATCCAGCACAGGCCTCCAGTGTGGCATGATGGTGGTCAGTCCATCATTTCCCATTCAGCAGTGACCCTTGACAAAGTTCAAACTCCTTGACAAAGCATATAAGACCCTGCATGATCTGGGGCTGTCTTTCTCTCCAGCCTTATCTCTCACTACACGCAGGCACACACACATGCACGCACATGCGTGCATGTACACCAACCCTGCCACCCCACCCTGCTGTGCTCATGCTCTGCTTTATGCCTTTCGATTAACTGACTGTGACAACTCTGGGGTTTTGCACAAATTGTCCCCTCAGTCCGAACGCTCTTCCACCTATGTCTCTGTTGTTGTGGTAGCTGCTGTCAAGTCAGCCCCCAACTCATGGGGACCCCATGCGTAACAGGCTCAGACGGTTGTGGTCTATAGGGTTTTCATTGGCTGGGGTTTTCAGAAGTAGATCACCAGGCCTTTCTTCCTAGTCTGTCTTAGTCTGGAAACTCTGCTGAAACCTGTTCAGCATCATAGCAACACGCACGCCTCCACCAACAGACAGGTGATGGCTGCGCGTGAGGTTCATTGGCTGGGAATCTCCCACATGAAAGGTGAGAATTCTACCACTGAACGACCAGTGCACCTAATGAATGTCGTTGTGAGCCAGCAAGTCGATTCCAACTCCTAGCGACCTGGCACAGTGAGTGCTCTGCTATGCTTCTACTTTTACTCCTTCCTGGTAATGTTTCCCTCTCCTTAGAAACTGCCGTTCACCATCCCTGAGCTGGTTCATGCCTCCCCATGCCGCAGCTCCGATGGGGTCTTCTACACAGGTGAGCATCTCTCCAGCCTGTGGGGCTGGAGGAACAGAGACCTAGGTCATGATGGGCCAGCTTGGGCACAGGACCAACAGGATGCACACCCTCTCCTGTGCCATCTTGAAGCTGGGACACTCTCCACCTCCACAGGCCGGAAGCAGGATGCCTGGTTTGTGGTGGACCCCGAGTCAGGGGAGACACAGATGACTCTGACCACAGACGGTCCCTCGACCCCCCGCCTCTACATCGGCCGGACGCGTGAGTCAGGCCTGAGCTATCCACCAAGCTCTGGGCAGCACTCCCTTCTGCTCTGTCCAAGTCTGGCTATTGCTATCCAAGTCAAATCCAGGCCAGTCAGTCAGTCAACAAACATTTTACTGAGCACTGAACAAGGATCTAGGGATACAGCAGTGAACAAGACAACCACGGTTTCTGCCCTGGTGTTGTTCACAGACTTCCAGGCCACCAGGCTCAGTGCTTGGGAAGGCCCCACCCTTACAAGATGAATGGCCGCTGGAGCGGATGAGGGTGGGAGGAGCATCCCATGGGTGTCCCTGGTAACCTTGATTTTGGTGATCCCCAGAGTACACGGTCACCATGCATGACCCAAGGACCCCGGCACTGCGCTGGAACACCACCTACCGCCGCTACTCAGCACTCCCCATAGATGGCTCACCTGGGAAATGTGAGTGCCCCTTTCTCTGGCCTCATCCTAAAGCAAGGTCCCCAAGTCAGGCAATCTGAGTGGCGTCCATGACCAAGTCCCACCCACATTCTGACCAACCCACCCAACCTCCTCAGGGACCTGACACACTGAATGGCTCACAACTGACAGATGACCCTAAGTGACCCCCCTCAACACCCAGACTGACCCCCACATGCTCTGACCAATCCCTCGATGGCCTAACACTTCCATGCCCCAAATTACCCCAACCAGGTAACTCTAGATGATTCCTCATGTTCTGAGTTACTCCAGGCAACCCACGCATAGCCTGACCAATCCGTACATGTCCTAACTACCCCCCACATGTTGAATGTCCCCTGACAGATGACCCTAAATGACTTTTCTCCAGACTGACCCCTCCAGGTAACCCTGACCACCCTCTTGCAATTAAGATTGTTCTACCAACTGCCTGAGTGACCTCTCAGGTGTCCCTCAGTAGCCCTTTACTACCTGACTCCCTCATACTGCTTGAGATCCCACGCAGATAACCCTGACACATCACAAATGACAGCCTCAGGGGCCCCTGACTCACTCCCTCACACCCTAAATGACTCTCAAGTAACACACATGCACCCAGGCCACCCTGACTGACTTCCATTCTGGGTGACCATCAGAGGACCTTATCTGACCACCGTACATCCTGAGTGACCTCTCTCTGGTGACCTGTACTAACTCACACACACTTGTGTGACCTTTGGATGATTTTGATGGACCCCTAATCCTGCATAGCTCCCCAGGGGACCCTGACTGATTCCCTCAGATTGGAGATGACCCATTGAATTCTGACTGACTTCCCCACATCGTATCAATCCTCCAGGTGACCTCCACTGACCTCCACACAGCTGAATGACCTTCCCCAGACCACCCACTCTCAAAGCAACTCCCCCACCGCTAGATGCTCCGAGGTACCCAGGCAGAGCTCCCTGACTCCACCCCCCAGTCATCTTTCTTGGCAGACATGAGCCACCTGGCCTCCTGTGGGATGGGCCTACTGCTAACCGTGGACCCAGGAAGCGGGGCGGTGCTGTGGACACAAGACTTGGGCGTGCCTGTGACGGGCATCTACACCTGGCACCAGGACGGCCTGCGCCAGCTGCCGCATCTCACCCTTGCCCGGGACACCCTGCACTTCCTTGCCCTCCGCTGGGGCCACATCCGGCTGCCTGCCTCAGGCCCCCAGGGCACGGCCACCCACTTCTCTGCCTTGGACACCCAGCTGCTGTAGGTGCCCATGCCTGGAAGTGTTGCAGCCTGGGCCCCATGCCCAGGGGTGATATTCAGCCATGACGCACCTGAACAGCTGAACCAGGTGTCAAAATGTTAAAATACAGTAAAACCTGTGAAAGCCAGAACCTATGTAGGGTGGAAACCTGTCAGAAAAGGAAAATTCAAATGTTTTCCTCCGCTAAAACAAGGGATAGAAAAGTGGTAAGACTGCACCCTGTCAAAGGCAGAACAAGGCAGTCCTGTCGAGTTCCGGCTCTCACAGGTTTCACTGTACCTCCACACTAGTTGGTCAGTAATCAATGCCCTGAGCCCCGGCAAGTGCTCCCAGTGTCCCCTGGATAGCCCCGCTGTCCACATAGAATAAAATCTGGCCCAGGAGGGGGCCTCCAGGTTTCGACACCAGGGTGATGGCTGGCACCTGTTCTGATTGATAGGTGCTTGTGCCTTCTTGGAGTCCTGGTGGTGCAGTGGTTAAAAGGTCAAGCTGCTAACCAAAAGATCAGCAGTTTGAAACCACTAGCCGCCCCTTGGAAACTCTATAGGGTCGCTATGAGTCAGAATCAACTTGACGGTAACAGATTTTTTGTTTGTTTGTTTGTTTGTTTGTTTGTTTGTTTGTTTTTTTGGTTTGTGCCTTTTTGGTTATTAAATACTTTTAATATCACCCTTCCCTGCAATACATAATACCTTATGGTCTCCATCTTGGGGAACCAGGAGACATACTGGGAAAGTCAGCATTTGCCCTTTCATTCAGTCTATTCCCGAAATATTAATTGAACACTTACTATCTGCCACTTACTAGGCTCTGGGAGTACAACAGTAAATAATACTGTCATTGTCCTTCCAACAGGACTCTGAGAGTCTAATAAGTGTGATGAAGTATGAGATAAGAGAATTATAGGGTGCCATGGGAATATATAGGAAGTGTTCCTAAATCCAGACTGGGTATAGGATGCAGTCATGGAAAGCTTCCTGGAAGCAGGGACACCTAAGTTGAAACCTAAGGATGAATAGGAATAAGAGGGCAAGAGAATGGCATCTAGGGAACACAAAGAAATTATATAAGGCTGGAGCATAGATCTGAGCAGAGAATAAGATCTGCGGCCATAAATTAAGCAGGGACCTTGAAGAATTGTGTTAAAGTGTTTGGACATTTTCTCCTAAGGCTAAGGAGGAGCCACTGGAGGGTTTTAAGCAATGAAGTGATTTGATCACATTTTATTATAGAAAAACCGCTCTGGCTACAGTGTGAAGAATAGCGTAGAGTGGTCAGAGGAGGAAATGGGGGGACATTTAGTAGGATATTGCATTAATTCAGGCAGAGATAAAGATACCTTGGACTATGGTGGAAACACTAGAAATGGAAATCAGTGGAGGGTAGGAGATATTGAGAGGAAAAACTTGTAAGAATTTGGTGGTTGGGAAGTTTGGTATTGTGAGCAAGGAGTCAGGGTGATGCTCAGGTTTCTAGAAACACAGAGGCACTGTCATTTTCAGAGGCAGGAAGCACTAGAGGAGGAGGGAGAGGAGAAAGAGGGAATGAGGTGATGAGTTCAGATTTAGAAAACTGAGCTTTGGAAAGAGGTCTGGGCTAGACATCGATTTAGAAATCATGATTATACAGTTCGTATCAGTTAGCTTTTGCTGCATAACAAACCACCCCAAAGCTTAGAGCTTAAAACAGCAAACATTTATTAATTTCCAAGAGTTTGTGGGTCAGCTGGGTGGTTTTTCTGATCTGGACTGGCTTAGGTACTGAGGCAGCTGCCTGCTTGGCTGGGGCTGGATGATTTAGAATGGCCTCACTCGCCTATCTCATATTTGGAAGACTGTTTTGGCCTAGGGGTGTCAGATAGAATGGCTCATCTCTACTCCGTAAGATCTGTCATGCCCCCAAAAGCTAGCCTGGGCTTCCTCACATGATGTTTTCAGGGTTCCAATGAGATTGTCTCATTGGCCAAAGCAAGTCACATGGCAAAGTCCACAGTCAGTTTGGGAGGGGACTACACCTGGACATGGATACAGTGGTAACTGAAACTAGCCAGCGCCATCACTCACCCTTCTCCCCTTTTTCTCTCTCCCTGCCCAGGATGACGCTGTATGTGGGGAAAGATGAAGCCGGCTTCTATGTCTCTAAAGCACTCGTCCACACAGGCGTGGCCCTAGTGGTAAGAGGGGGTTTCTGAGTGGGATGGAAAGATGGGGTGGAGAAGAGAGGAGCCTCCCTCACTAATGGCTTTCCATCTGCCATAGCCTCGTGGACTAACTCTGGCCCCCGCTGATGGCCCTACCACAGATGAGGTGACACTCCAAGTCTCAGGAGAGCGAGAGGGCTCACCCAGCACTGCTGTCAGATACCCCTCAGGCAGCGTGGCCCTCCCTAGCCAGTGGCTGCTCATTGGTGAGGTCCCCTGGCTCATAGTAGATGAAGATAAAGGACCTTGGGCCCAGTTTTTGGGCTGGGAGGCTGAGTTCACCTGCAGCCTGCTGACTTTTGCCCTGCCCCTTAGGACACCATGAGCCACCCCCAGTGTTGCACACCACCATGCTGAGGGTCCATCCCACCCCAGGAAGTGGGACTGCTAAGACCAGACCCCCAGAGAGCACCCAGGCCCCATCCCTTTTCTTGGAGGTCAGTGCTGTAAGCGCAAAAGGCAAGGGGCGTGGGCGGGGGAGATCCAGAAGGTGAGTGGGAAGCCCTTGGACCCTTTTCTCAGGCTGCTAGACATAACATCTGGAGGTGGTTCAGTGGACTCCACACGATTTCGCAGAAGAAGAACATTTTATTATTGTCAGAAACATGTCCAAAGTGTCAAAAAGACACTTTTTTAGCTGTCTAAATTGTGAAGCACGAGTCACAGCTTTCTTTATTCCTCTGCGGTATAAAAATTGCAAGATCTTCATCAAGTGAGGAAATGAAAGCAGAGAAAATCTATAAAAGTATGTTCTCCTGGGAGAGAGTTGGACAAGAATCACTAGTGGTTCACAGTTAGAAGGAGTGACCTTGACCTGGAGCAGTAATTCTTAAGTCTGATACTCATCAGAATCACCTGGGAGCCCAGTGCAGCACCCCACCCCCTCCCCACCACTGAATTCAGAATCTCTGGAGGTGGAGTGTGGGCATCTGTATTTTTTAGTAACACCCCAGGAGATATCGGTCATCAGTTGGTTTTGGAACACTACTCTCCTGGGGCACCATGATGTTTCAGCACCATGAAGAGTGTCCTGTTTCCTACCATGTGCCCCTTCAGCTAAGCGAGGCTCTGTATGGATTGGACTCCCACAGTGGGGAGGGGGTGCTAAGAGTGAAAGCCTCTGTGTCTGCAGCTCCTGAGCCTAAACCGGGAAGAACTTTGGAACCTGGAGCTGCATCCCGAAGAGAAAACCCCAGACTTGTATCCACAGCTGGGTCCCCAAGACCTGTTGGCAGCCAGCCTCACTGCTGTCCTTCTAGGAGGGTGGATTCTCTTCCTGATGAGGCAGGTGAGGCCATTGCTCCTGACCTCTGGTCCCTCTTTGGACCTTTGTAGGCCCCGACTCCACTCCTCCTCTGAGACGACTGGACTCGGCATCTTTCTCCCTCACCCCGCTCTGATTGTGCAACCTGCCCTCCCAGCAGCTCCCCAAGGCCCTGCCACTGTGCTCTGTGTCTCCGCTCCAGTGAGAGGCCATCGCAGGCACAGCTGCTGGGCCCGTCACGGGCAGGGCCTGGCCAGGGCTGAGCCCTTTCAGGCCCTCATGTCTCAGCAGCAGCAGCTGACGGAGAAGCAGCAGCAGCTGACGGAGAAGCAGCAGCAGCTGACGGAGAAGCAGCAGCAGGCAACCCAGGCACCTGCAGGTCCTTCTCACATCCCACAGGATGCTCAGTCCCAGCCCTCGGGGACCACCCTACAGGGCCAGAAGAGACTTCAAAGCCCCTCAGAGCAAGCCCAACCACTCAAGGACGCTGAAGGTGAGCTTAAGTGAACAAGAAACAGCAGAGTCAGGGACAGAAAAAAGAGGGAACAGGTTTAGTTTAAAGTCAGGTTATTAGAAGTCCCTATAGTGGGAGGCACTGGTGGTTCAGGGGTAGCATTCTTACCTTCCATACAGGAGACCTGGGTTCCATTCCCGGCCAGTGTACCTCACGTGCAACCACCACCCATCTGTCAGTGAAGATTTGTGTCTTGCTATGATGTTGAACAGGTTTCAGCAGAGCTTCCAGACTAAGATGGACTAGTAGATCACTAGGCCTGGTGATCTACTTCTGAAAATCAGCCAGTGAAATCCCTACAGATCACAATGGTCTGGCCTGGCAGTGTTTTATTCCGTTGTGCATGGGGTCACCATGAATCAAGGACCAACTCAAGGGCAGCTAACAACAATAACAGCAATACAGTGGGGTGGTTAAGCCTAAATGAGTTAATAGAGGGTGTTTTAAACAGTGCCTGGTATGTAATTGAGCAAGAGTCTGCTGTTATTGTTTATTGTTGTTATTTTCAAAGACTCTGGATGCAGATGGAATTGGATTTAAATCTTAATTCTGTTACCTGTTAATTTTGATGAGTTGCTTAACTCCTCTGAGCTTCAGTTTTCTCATCTGTCAAATAGGAATAATAATAACATCTACCTCATTACATCACCTCTTTGTGATAGGTTGCCATTATTATTATTATTAAATCATACCTAGGCAATGTTATTAATATTGTGTTAAAATAATATCATATTTGGTAACAATAATAGTAAATCACCTTGGTACAACTTGTTACCATTTCCCCTGTTTTGAGTTTTTTTAAAACATTTCATCTTTTCTAAATTTAATCCTACCTATAAGCAAGCCCTTTTCGAGATTTCTCTGGTACCTGTCAGATGCTCCAGGGTGTCTTTCTTTCTTTTTTTTTTTTTTATTGTACTTTAGATGAAAGTTTACGGAACAAAGAGTTTCTCATTAAACAGTTAGCACACATATTGTTTTATAACAATGGTTAGCAACCCCACGATATGTCAACACTGTCCCTTCTCAACCTTAGGTTCCCTATTACCAGCTTTTCTGTCCCCTCCTGCCTTCTAGTCCTTGTCCCTGGACTGTGCCCCATTAGTCTCATTTTGTTTTATGGGGCTGTATAATCTTCGGCTGAATGGTGAACTTCAGGAGTGATTTCATTACTGAGTTAAAAAGGTGTCTGGGGGCCATACTCTTGGGGTTTCTCCAGTCTCTGTCAGGCCAGTAAGTCTGGTCTTTTTTTGTGAGTTAGAATTTTGTTCTACATTTTTCTCCAGCTCTGTCCAGGACCCTCTGTTGTGATTCCTATCAGAGCAGTCAGTGTTGGTAGCCAGGCACCATCTAGTTCTACTGGACTCAGTCTGGTGGAGGCTGTGGTAGATGTGGTCCATTAGTCCTTTGGACTAATCTTTCCCTTGTATCTTGTTTTCTTCATTCTCCCTTGCTCCCAAAGGGATGAGACCAGTGGCGTATCTTATATGGCTGCTCACAGTCCAGGGGGTCTTTCACCTGCTTGCACTGGTCAGGCCAGTCTACTTCTCCAGCTTCTTCAGCTCTGGGCTAGGCTGAGGACTTCGCTCCTCTTTGCTGCTGGCTCCCCTTGGTCACTGTTCAGACCACTACCTCGTGCCTTGGAGCTGCCCTGCTGTGGCTTTAACTCAGGCTGCAGTCCACCCACACTTGGCTGGATGCTGCAGGGCTGTTCCCAACCACCAGTTTTCACCTCTCTTCTGCTGAGAAAGAAACAGCTCCCCTTCCTCTGGCGTCAGTTCTTTTTTTTTTTTTAATAATATTTTATTGTGTTTTCAGTGAAAGTTTACACAGTAAATTAGGTTTCCATTTGACAATTTCTACACAAATTGTTCAATGACATTAGTTACGTTTTTCACAATGTGTCAGCATTCTCTTTAATTATGTTCTGGTTGTTCCATTTTCAGTTGGGGTCAGCTCGTTTAGTGGGCTCCACAGCAAAGTTGCCTGAGCCCTGAGGTGTTGCAGCTCTTGTCATTTTACTGGCTGATAGTGGGTCTAAGTAATAGCCACCCTACTGCACCCTGAAACACTCATCTCCTTGGACCTTCTGACTCTGGAGCTGAGTCTGGCTTGTCTTTCCCCAGATGACCCAGCCCCAGCTTTTCCCAGGGTGGTTCTCATCAAAGAACTCTACAGCCCCTCCTTGCTTTTTTTTCTTCTATTGCCCCTCACTCCCATAGTTCACTAGACCCCAGTCACTGACATGACTTGAATTCCTTCTCCAGAAGTCACCTCAATTCCCATCTAAGTCAGTGGATATCAATAATCCTCAGGGGAGATTATGAAGGACGAGAAAAGGGATGTTAAATCCCAGCTCTGGCCTAGCTAGGACACCTTGTTGCATAAAATACCAAAAATTCTTTACCCACTATAAAAAAGGAAGCAGAGTGATATGTATGTGTTGTGACAAGAGTCCAAGAAAACATAACACCCACGTAGAGCCTGGAACCTTTGTTTCTACATTTAACTGGTAACAATCTCTCTATAATACTGGATTTCCTCTGTAATGTAAAGAAAATCTTTCTATTTCTTTCACTTTCTCTGTTTAAGGTAATAAACTCTTTACTTTGGCACTTTTCATGTCATCTAGGCAAAGCCTTGCTGCTAGCAGTGGGGTGGGGTGAGAGGAGACAAGAAAACAGGCAATTATTATGGTGTGATAAATGCTGTGATGGTCAGACAGGGAGCAATGGGAATGCAGAGGAAGGGCATGTGACCAGACCTGGGGAGATAGGAAGTGTCTTAGAAGTGATGTCTAAGCTGAGATCCAAAGGATAAGAAGGAATTACCCAACTGAGCAGGGAGGAAAGGCGAAGAAACATTCCAGGTGGCAGAAACAGCACATGCCAAAGTTCAGAGACGAGAGAAAGCAGGATACACATTCTGGAAACTGAAAGTGAGCTTGCAAATGCAGGCTCATGGAGAGGCCAGGTGGGTAAAGTAGATGAGTGAAGCAGCCATGTGGGAGAGACAATGGAGAGTGGTTGGGACTGTGGCAAACTGGACAACAGCTGCCCTGTCTAAGCTGCAGTGGCTGTGCCTGTCTTGCTTACTGCCACATTCCCAGCACCCTGCTCAGTCCCTTGGTGCAGAGCTAGGCTCAGTGAACAGCTGCTGAATCAACGACTGATGTTGGATACTGGAGATTCTAAAACAGCACTTCCCAACTCAATAAATACATGTGGAATGAATATGTGATGAGCAGGTGCGAGGGAAAGGCAGCATTACAATTAACAGCTGGGTCTTGCCCATCTGAGGTGCAATTATTTACAGTCCTGTGAATCAAAATACTGGTTTAACCCTGCCAGAATCAAATAAGGGAATGTGGGTGCTGGCAGAAAAGTGGTCAAGAACCACTCTTCAAAAAACCCTCCAGCACCAGCACCTTGTGGCCACCCCTAACCTACTCTTTTTTTAAATAAAATTTCGTTGTGGTTTCGGTGAAGGTTTACACGGCAGTTTAGGATCCCATTCAACAATTTCTACACAAGTTGTTCATTGACATTGGTTACGTTCTTCACAATGTGTGAACATTCTCATTATTTCCACTCTGGTTCTTCCGTTTCCATTAATCTAGCTTCCTTACCCCCTTACTTTCTCATCTTTGTCTTAAAGTAATTGTTGATCGTTTGGTTTCATGCAGGTGATTTTTTAAAGGAGAACAGTAGTTATGGGTGACATTCATGATTTTTTGGGCCAATTTGTTATTTAGCAACAAGGTGACCTTGGGGGTTAGTTTCAGTTCAAGGTTTCAAGAGTCTCTCAGGGCTATAACCCTGGGGAGTCCTCCAGTCTCAAGTGCTAACCTATTCTTAAGACATCTGCTCAGATCAAGAACCCAGCCCTTGGGAATCCTGGTCCTCCTGTCTGGGCAGAGGAGGCGGATCCTCCTCACGGACCTTTTGTTGTTGTTATTGTTGTTGTTAGGTGCCGTTGAGTCGGTTCCCACCCATAGTGACCCTGTGTACTACAGAATGAAACATTGCCTGGTCCTGCGCCATCCTCACTATCGTTGTTATGCTTAAGCCCATTGTTGCAGCCACTGTGTCAATCCATCTCATCGAAGGTCTTCCTCTTTTTTGCTGACCCTCTACTTTACCAAGCATGAAGTCCTTCTCCAGGGACTGATCCATCCTGACAACATGTCCAAAGTATGTAAGACGTAGTCTCGCCATCCTTGCTTCTAAGGAGCATTCTGGTTATACTTCTTCCAAGACAGATTTTTTCGTTCTCTTGGCAGTCCATAGTATATTCAATATTCTTCGTCAACACTACAATTCAAAGGCATCAATTCTTCTTTGGTCTTCCTTTATTCATTGTTCAGCTTTCGCACGCATATGAGGCGATTGAAAACATCATGGCTTGGGGCAGGCGCACCTTAGTCCTCAAAGTTAACATCTTTGCTTTTCAACACTTTGAAGAGGTCTTTTGCAGCAGATACGCCCAATGCAATACGTTGTTTGATTTCCTGACTGCTGCTTCCATGGGCAGTGATTGTGGATCTAAGCAAAATGAAATCTTTGACAACTTCAATCTTTTCTCCGTTTATCATGATGTTGCTTATTGGTCCACTTGTGAGGACTTTTGTTTTCTTGATGTTGAGGTGTAATCCATACTGAAGGCTGTGGTCTTTGGTCTTCATCAGTAAGTGCTTCAAGTCCTCTTCACTTTCAGCAAGGAAGGTTGTGTCATTTGCATAACACAGGCTATTAATGAGTCTTCCTCCAATCCTGATGCCCCGTTCTTCATATAGTCCAGCTTCTCGGATTATTTGCTCAGCATACAGATTGGATAGGTATGGTGAAAGGATACAACCCTAACGCACACCTTCCCTGACTTTAAACCACGCAGTATCCCCTTGTTCTGTCTGAACAACTCCCTCTTGATCTATGTACAGGTTCCTCATGAGCACAATCAAGTGTTCGGGAATTCCCATTCTTTGCAATGTTATCCATAAATTGTTATGATCCACACAGTTGAATGCCTTTATATAGTCAATAAAACACAGATAAACATCTTTCTGGTATTCTCTGCTTTCAGCCAGGATCCATCTGACATCAGCAATGATATCCCTGGTTCCATGGATATCCATGGACATTTTACCATTCACAAAAACTACAGATCCTACTCTCATTGAATTTATCCAAATTAATCTACATGTGCTTGCTTGGGCATCCTTCAGGACTGCCAGCTGCATCAAATATTAACTGGCAAGTGGACACAATCAAGCCTGAAGCAGAGCTGATATTTATATAGCACCTACAGTGTGCTGGCCATGCTTTGCATGTACTAACTCAGATGATATTCACAACATTCTTGTGAGGTGGATACAATTTTAATGCCAATTTTACAGAAGAGGAAATGGAGGCAGAAAGGTTTAGTGACAAGCTCCCCTGTCCCCCACCTTGGCTCACAAATCCTGGCAGCTCCAGGATTCAAACCCAGGGAAGCTGGCTCCAGCATCTGCGCTCTTAACTTTTGTGTGTGGTGCCTCTTTGCGCACATTGGTGAACACACATGGAAACAAAGGAGCCCTGGTGGCACGGTGGTTAAGCACTTGGCTGCTAATGGAAATGTTGGCAGCTTGAACCTACCCATTCCTTCATTGGAAGAAAGATGTGGCAGTCTGCTCCCATAAAGATTTACAGCCTTGGAAACCCTATGGGGCAGTTCTACTCTGTCCTACAGGGTTGCTATGAGTTGGAATTGACTCAATGGCAAAAGGTTTAGCCTCTATAAAAGCAGCAGCAAAATGCACCATGTGTACTCAGAATTTTCAGAGGTAATTCTGACTATACCCATTTCTGCCTCACATAACAACTTGTGATTACTTTCAAACCTCACCCTACATTAGCTGCTTCTCCACTATAATGATGCAGAAGGCTGAGCACAGTGATGGCAAATATCCATGAGAGCAGACAGCCTCCCCCAGCTTTTTTTTTTTTTTTCCTGCATTCAAGGCCTTCCTGGCTGTAAGTCTGGCCTCCTGAACATCTAACCTAGTGTCTTAATTTCCTCATGCTGCTGGAACACAAATACCACAAGTGGGCAGCTTTAAAGAACAGAAACTTATTTTCTCGCAGTTCTGGAGGCTAAACATTCAAATTAGCGTCTTGGTCATGTTGATTCCTTCCTTGTTGGTAGCCCTGTGTGTTCCTTGGCTTGTAGACAATCCTCACATGGAGTATGTGACTATTCTGGTCTTTTTATAACTCAGAAGTGATTATGTTTAGGATCCACCCTACACTGGTATGACCTCAACTGATTGATCATATTACCTTAGATTGTGTTAGGGAAGTTGATTATATTACATTACATTATGGAACGTCATTACATTACATTGCATTACATTACATAATGGAAGGTAATCTGCTCTACCTAAGGCTCATTTAATCACATGTGACTACTCCATGACAGCAACTAGACTAGTGTTTGCCCAAACAACTGGGAACCATAGCCTAGCCAAGTTGACACATAAAATTAACTCTCACACTCAGCAAGTACTTAGGGGTGTTTACCCCATGCAGAGAGTGCCAAAAGCGGGAAAGGCAGACATGCAAAAAATGAGAAACTCTGCAGAACCAAGTGGGTGGTACAAAAGACAGGCCAAGAAGGCTCAAAGGGAGGAGTGATGAAGTTCATCTGGATGGACCTGTGACCCTCACCTGGAATCAGATGAGCAGGTCTTGTTCATATGGGCTTCAGCAACTCTGTCCCTACTTTCTGAGCTAGCAGAGAGACAGTGAGGCCCACTCTTACCCTTGGGTACTATGCTTCCGGCAAGGCTCTAAATCATCGCACCCACTCCTTAGAGTTGACTTTACACTAATTTAGGTCACTGCCTGCCTGCAAACATTTAAGCAGCTAATCCAGAGCAATGCTGAGGTACAGTTTGGTTCTTTTCTCACTAATCCCTAACCCTGATTTCATTTGCTTCTCCTAAAGCCAATTGCAGAGACTGCAGCCAGCAGCTGTTCCTAAGTGGGATCTTCTCTGGGCCACTGCACTGCCCAACTCTAGGGGTGCCATACATGTGCAGCTGCATGCATGGTGCCCCTTGGAGCTGGGCAGGGTGCAGCCTATCCAGATGCACCTATGTCAGAGTGAGGGGTCTCTCGCAGACCACCCAAAGGGAAGAGCAGAAACTGTGCAAGCCTCCAGGCTGCTGCCCACCTGAGCCAACCCCTTCCGTCTGTCAAAAAGTAAAAACCTGTGCTGTTAAAATAAAAGCAGGGAGATTTATTGAGGGCAAGATACAGTTTAAACTGGGGACATGCAGTGTCCACAAAGTGAAACCATGCACTCCAAACAGTTATAAGCATCCAGGCAATATTTATACTGTTAAACCAAGAACTAACAGCATAATATTCTGATTGGCTTACCAGTGATTTGTAAAAGTCAAAGAGAGGTTAACAAAAGAGGGGGGTCTACAGTGATTGGTTTAAAGAGTCTTTGTTGATTACGTTACCACTTGGTGACTATAAGGGGGCTTGGGGAGGTTACAAAGCAATCACAGGACATTCTTTTCTGCTAATTTAGCTTAATTGTATAATGTGGTTCTTTGGAGTGGCTTGCGTAGCTCGGTTACAAAGAAACATTTCCTTAGATACCAGATTAAGTCTTATTTAAAGGTTACAAGTTAACAAAAGCAGTAAATTATTGATCCTAAATCTAGGCTAGCAGTCTTCACCGTCAAGCACCCCCCAAAATTTAGGACTCTCACACATCCTAATGGGAAACCAAGGCCTTCCAGAGGGTTCTCTGATACCCTAGAACTAACTCTGAGGCAACTTGGTATTCAGATGCTCATTGCTGCCCCCTCCTGTTCAGGACAGTCTCCTGGAGTGTGTCCAGGACCACACTCATTCTCACCACATTTCCAGCTGCCAATTCACCTTCTTACATGAAGCAGATTCAACCTCAATTTTAAAAAGCTGTTGTTGTTGAGTCAATTTCGACTCATGGTGACCCTGTTTGGTACAGAGTGGAACTGAGTTCCATAGGGTTTTCTTGGCTGTAAACTTTACGGAAGCAGATCTCCACAGCCCCACTGCATGGGTTTGAACTGCTAACCTTTCGATTAGTAGTCAAGCACAAATCATTTGCACCACCCGGGGACCTTTCAATCTCAATTAAAAACCAAACCAAACCCATTGCTGTTTAGTCAATTCTGACTCATAGCGACCCTATAGCACAGAGTAGAACTGCCCCCATAGGGTTTCCAAGGCTGTAAATCTTTAGGGCAGCTGACTGCCACATCTTTCTCCCGTCAAGCAGCCATTGATGGGTTCATACTGCCAACCTTTTGTTTAGCAGCTGAGCGCTTAACCACTGCGCCATCGGGGCGCCTTTCAACTTCAGTTAGAAGCACTCAGTTATAAATGGTGGAGGTGAGGAGAGTGACAGAGGAAGGAAAGAAAGCTGGCTAGAAGATGCTGAAAGAGGAAGAGATAAAAGGATAGTATAGCAAATGTCACCATTCTCCCTTCTTTCTATACACTCATTTAAGCCTCACAATGCTACTGGGAGAGAGCATTAACATTATCCCTGCTTTACAGATGAGAAAACCAAAGGCAGAAGGGTTAAGTCACTTGCCCAGGGTCACACAGAGTAGACAGCAGCGGCAGGCATTGGGCCCAGGCTGCCTGGCACAGCTGCAACAAGCTGGGCGTGTGAGGGTGGATGTCAGGAGAAAGGTCGAGATGGCAGGGGGTGGGTCTGCACTGGACAGAGGTATGGATGGGGGAAGAAGGGGCAGATGGTGGGCAGAGAAGAGGTGGCCGTGTGGCCAGCAAGCAGATGCCACCAGAGGTGTGGCTCCCTGAGACACCACCCTCCTCTCTCCCCCTAGCTGAGCAGCTCACCGTGGTGGGAAAGATTTCCTTCAACCCCAAGGATGTGCTGGGCCGTGGGGCAGGCGGGACTTTCGTGTTCCGGTGAGTGGTATCCAGGAGCCAGGCTGGAGAGAGATATGGCGCTCACAACCTTGGGGAGCGTTTTCTCCAAGGACCCCCCGAGGTGGGAACAAGTTGGTACTTCACGCACTAGTTCTTCACCTTTTCCTGCTCACCCACCTCCCAGGGGACAGTTTGAGGGGCGGGCAGTGGCTGTCAAACGGCTCCTTCGTGAATGCTTCGGGCTTGTTCGGCGCGAGGTGCAGCTGCTGCAGGAGTCTGACAGGCACCCCAACGTGCTCCGCTACTTCTGTACAGAGCGGGGGCCCCAGTTCCACTACATCGCCCTGGAGCTCTGCCGGGCCTCATTGCAGGAGGTGAGGTCAGTGCTCAGGGAGGTGCAGTGGGGTGGCCTGGAGGTCCCTGGCTGCATGGTGAGGTTTGCCCCTTGCTACCCCTCAGTATGTGGAAACCCCCGACCTGGATCTCTGGGGCCTGGAGCCCAAGGCGGTACTCCATCAGCTGATGTCTGGCCTGGCCCACCTGCATTCCTTGCACATAGGTACCAACCGGCTGCCTCCCCCTCCCCATTCTCCACCCCTTCCCTTCCCCACCCCTAGTCCAGCACCCTCTCTGCTCCCACAGTGCACCGGGACTTGAAGCCTGGGAACATTCTCATCACAGAGCCCGACACCCAGGGCAGAGGCAGGGTGGTCCTCTCGGACTTCGGCCTCTGCAAGAAGCTGCCTGCCGGCCGCCGGAGCTTCAGCCTCCGCTCAGGCATCCCCGGCACGGAAGGCTGGATGGCACCCGAACTCCTTCAGCTCCAGCCCCCAGACAGCCCTGTGAGTCTTCCCACCTGGCAGACACCTGTCATGGCCTTAGGGGTCCCACCCTGTCCTGGGGAACCACGCAGCACTTGAGGCTTGAAGTCTGTCCCTGTTCCACCTTGGGTGACTCCTCCTGGCCAATGGTTCTTCATCTGTAAAGTGGAGATAATTTAGCCCTTCTTATCTATAGCATAGGAAATCCTGGTGGTGCAGTGGTTAACAGCTATAGCTGCTAACCCAAAGGTCGACAGTTCAAATCCACCAGGCGCTCCTGGGAAACTCTATGGGGCAGAGTTGGAATCGACTCGACGGCAACGGGTTTTTTTGGTTTATCTATAGCAGAGGAGCCCAAATGTTTGGCTGCTAACCAAAAGCTCAGCAGTTCGAATCTACCAGCCGCTCCTTGGAAACCCTGTGGGGCATTGTGTTCTGTCCTATAGGGTCACTATGAGTTGGAATAGACTCAACGACAATGAGTTTTTAGAGCATAGGCTGCCTCTGGTAGGCACTTGAGTTTGGATCCCCAGGATTATAGATCTGGGAGTCGTTGGTGCGTGCAGAGGGAATGGGATCTAGCAGCAAGGAGCTGCCTCCCAGGAAGCATCCTGGAGTTCTGGTCTGAGCCAAACCCCTGACTACCATATCAGCCCCTGGTCAGGCTGGCTTCCTTAAAGCAAACTTATCTGCATCTCTCTGGCCCCCAGACCAGCGCGGTGGACATCTTCTCGGCTGGCTGCGTGTTCTACTATGTGCTTTCTGGCGGCAGCCACCCCTTTGGAGAGAGTCTTTATCGCCAGGCCAACATCCTTGGAGGGGCTCCCTGTCTGGCTCACCTGGAGGAGGAGGTCCATGGTGAGGGAAACTGGGCGGCAGAGGAGGAGGAAGGGAAGGGTGGGAGGCTGTGCAGGCCTGAAGTTACTCCTTCTCTTCCACCCCATAGACAAGGTGGCTGCCCGGGACCTGGTAGCGGCCATGCTGAGCACACAGCCACAGGCAAGGCCCTGTGCTCACCAGGTGCTGGCCCACCCTTTCTTCTGGAGCAGAGCCAAGCAGCTTCAGTTTTTCCAGGTCAGAGGGAAATCTTGGGAATGGCCCCAGAAAGCTGCAAGTTTGGGGCCTGAGCAACAAGAAAGGGGAAGCCAAATTAGCTGGGGAAGACTTAGCTGGTGGCCTGGCTCCTTACTCCAAACTGGAATGATGCCCAGGCTCCTAAGCTTTGCCATCTTGTCATTCCACTGCCCACTCATTACCAGCTTTCCCAGCCACAGTTGTACTCTGTGCCAGAATATACCCTATTCCTTTCAGCCCGAGTTGTCGCTCATGCTATACTCATGCCCAGAGAGTTCATTCCACCTTTGTGACCTAGAGCAAGGGATCTTGTGCCTCTGAGCCTGTTTTCTCATCTGTAAACTGGGGACAATAGTACCTACCTCATAGGTTTATGGTGAAGACCTGGTGGGATTACATGGGGGTACATATGGCACAGAGAAGCGGCACTCAACAAGAGACAATGGTCCTTATACCCTAAACCACAAAGCCTTTGCTACTTTGCTCCCCTTACTCGTACAACTGCCCTGGCCTGTGGCCTCTGATACTGGTCATGAGGCTCAGGAGTTCTGGGTCCTAGGACGTCAGTGACTGGCTGGAGAAGGAGGCTGAGCAGGAACCCCTGGTGATGGCGCTGGAGGCGGGAGGCCATGTGGCAGTCCGAGGCAACTGGCACAAGCACATCTCGGTGCCACTGCAGACAGGTAGAGGGTCAGACTCAGGGTGGCCTGGGAGGCCGATGGGAGTCTCAGTGGGGGCAGCTTTGCCAATGCTTTTCCTGCCCACAGATCTGAGAAGGTTCCGGTCATATAAGGGAACATCAGTGCGAGACCTGCTCCGTGCCATGAGGAACAAGGTGTGGCTGCAGGGCTAGGGTGAGGCTTGTCTCTAGGGAAGGAAGGCCCAGCCACAGCTGAACCAGGGGTTCTCTGCTCTGCCCTCCTCCAGAAGCACCACTACAGGGAGCTCCCGGTTGAAGTTCGGCAGGCGCTAGGCCAAGTCCCTGACAGCTTTGTCCAATACTTCACAAACCGCTTCCCACGGCTGCTCCTCCACACGTACCACGCCATGAGGAGCTGTGCCTCGGAAAGCCTCTTCCTGCCCTATTACCCGCCAGCCTCAGGGGCCAGGGAGCCATGCCCAGAGGCTGCTGGGAGCTGAGAGCCACAGAGAGGCCTCTACCAAGGCCTGCTGGGGAGTTGGCCCTGTGGCTGAGGCTGGCCTCAGTGTCAGAAGAGACCGGCAGAGGCCTGGCAGCCTGGGGGTCCCAGAGCAAAGGGAATCCAAGAAGAAAAAGAAGACTTACATATGTTTAATGTGCATAAAGCCAAGGATAGGACAGTTCAAAATTCAATAGAAATAATCTGTACAATTCATATGGTGGGGTTGAGGGAAGGGGAAGGGGCTTCAGGACCCATACCCAAACATGTAAAAAAATAACTTACATAGCAACCCCCACCTGCAAGGATGGTGTAGCTCCTTCCCCGCCCCCAGGGCTGGGAGGCACATGAAGAGAAACAAGGCCGCGGGCTAACCAGTGTAGGCCCTAGGTGCTTGTGGGAGTGAAGAGGGGCACCAGTCCAGAGGGAGGGAGGCCTACGAGGAGGCCTTGAGGCGGTTGGAGGCAGAGCGTGAGCTCAGCAGCTTGTCCACCATGGTGCGGGCATAGCGGAGACGGCTGGCCAGCTCCTTGGAGCAGCCATGCTCCTCGAGGAGGCTCAGGCGGTACGTGCGGAAGTCCCGCTTCTCGTTGATGTAAGTCACGGCTGCCATCAGTGGGCACAGGATGAGTTTGGTATGGTCCTAGAAGGGGAGGGGGATGGACAGATGGAGGTTATCAGTAGGTTGAAGATCCCAGCTGCTAGTGTATTTGCAGGGAGTGGAGGGGAGGAGTCAGGAGCCCTGGTGGCACAGCGGTTAAGCGCTTAGCTGCTAACTGAAAGGTCAGCAGTTTGAACCTACTAGCTGCTCTGCGGGAGGAAGATGTGGCAGTCTGCCTCCGTAAAGATTACAGCCTTGGAAACCCTATGGGGCAGTTCTACTCGGTCCTATAGGGTCACTATGAGTCAGAATCAATTCTATGGCAATGGGTATTTTATGGGAGTGGAGGAAGATATTCCAGCCGATGAACAGGGAGTCCCCATCCCACTTCACTCCCTTCTTACTGCTGCTGCCAAGGACAGGTAGCCTCCACTGTAGAGACACACAACCCACCCAACTCCTGTGGGCCCACCGCCAGGCACAGATACCCACCCCACTCCTGTGGGCCCACTGCCAGGCACAGATACCCACCCCACTCCTGTGGGCCCACTGCCAGGCACAGATACCCACCCCACTCCTGTGGGCCCACTGCCAGGCACAGATACCCACCCCACTCCTGTGGGCCCACTGCCAGGCACAGATACCCACCCCCAACTCTGCCCTGCCCCACCTTCACTCAGCTCACCTGGAAGAAGTTGATCTGCACACAGCCATTGCTGAGGTGTAGGATGATGGCGCTGCGGGTGCGGAACCAGGTACGCAGGTACGGTAGCCGGGCTAGCTCATCACCTTCCCGTGGCGTGATATTGGCACCAGCCTTCAGCAAGTGTTCACTCATGTAATTCCGGAAATACTTCAGGAGTGTGATCTGGTTGGAAAGTTGGGGAGGCGGCCCAGAGTTATAGCCTGACCTTGTCTAACCCCCACCCTGACACATTAAGCCCACGGGCTGGCCAGCACTCACCTTCTTCATCAAGGAGTTGGGATGGGAGCTGACGGTGAGGTAGGACTCTGTGCCATCACGCTCAATGTACTGCAGGCTCTCACCATCGTTGTAGAGGATGAGGCGAGTCGAGTCATTGAAGAGCACCCCCACGCTATTGTCACACAGCTGATACCCTAGCGGTAGGTGGGGAGAGACCTCAGAAATAGGGAACGGGGGACAGGGGGACATCGGGAGCTGAAACTGGGAGTCCTGGGATACAGATAGGAGAGTGTTGAGACAAGGGGACTTGGGAGCAAAAAAGACAAGAGCCGATAACAACTCAAAGGGTCACCTGGTGGTATGTAAGCCACCCACCCATTCTAAAAGAAACCTACCAAGGCCATACTTGTCTGAATAGTCCACCCATTTGCTGATCCAGAAGATGGGAATGCAGGCGGGATCCTCGGCCTCCTCTGAGACAGAAACAGACAGGTGATTGGTCAGGACCAGCTTCTTCCCCTCTGGTTCACTCATGTGGCCCACACCAGGGAAACCTGCCAGGCACCTCACCTGGGTTCAGTCAAGAGGCAGAGAAGAGGAGACACCTACTGTAAGCCAGGCCTGGGGCCCCAGAGAAGAGCAAGCATGGCCTCTACCACCAATAAGCACAGACAAACAGCAGGACAGACTTTTAAGCAGAAAGTTACAGCACTGTATACCAAGTTCCACTCAAGCATTCAATCGACCCATTTATTGAAGGCCTAATGTGTGCTAGGTACTGTTGTGGGCACAGTGAACAAGAGACAAAAGACTCAGCCTACCTGGAGCTTGCGCCCTGGTTGCAGGGACAAAGGCTAATTAAAATAAATATGGGTAAGAGGACACCATTGCTTAGGGGGCACTGAACTTCTGTTAAGGGTGATGGAAAAATCTGGAAACAGATACTGGTGATGGATGCACAACATGATGAACATAATTAGCGTCAGTGAATTGTACATGTAGAAAAATGTTGAAATGGCAAATGTTCTGCTATGTATCACAATAAAAATAAATAAACATGGATAAAATACGTAAGTTACTTCATTCATGGTAAGAGTCAGTGGCTGGCACATTATCTAGTTTTCCAGTTTTGAGTGATTAAAAAATTATGAGAGTATATAGAGATCAAAGTTTAACAGTGGTTACCAGGGGTGGAAAGGAGGGGGACTGAGGGGAATTATTATTTAGGAAGCACTGAGTTTTTCTTTATGGGGATGGAAACTTTGGCAAAGGACAGTGGTGATGGTTGCACAACAAGACTGATGTAACTGATCTCAGTGAATTGCATACATGAAAGATGGTGACTTGGCAAATGTGGTGCTATCTATATTTTTCACAACAATTAGAAAAAATTGTGAAAGGACAATTCCAAACACATCAAAATGCTATGTTCAGAGCATGCAAGAAACCCCTTATTTAAACACAATAAACAAATGTGGGAACTTTAGAAAGTTAGGTGAGACGTGCTATGGAGAAATCTATACCAGGCAGGGCAGGGAAGGAGTGGGGGGCAGGGAAATGGTCACGGAGGTGCCACTGAAGCAGGCACTTGAAGGAGGTGCGATCAAGAGCCATGCAGATGCTGGCGGAAGTGCACTCCAGGAGGGAACGGTAAGTGCAAACGCCCCAGACCGCAGCATGTCTGGGTCTGTTCTTTCAACTCTCTCAAAGGACAACTAGGAGTTCACAGAGCAGAAGAAACAGCCTGTGTAAACTATATCCAGGTAACATATTTAGAGGACAGCCAGTAATCTGAGGTGGCTGGAAGATGGGGCATTTCTGCGGTAAGAGCAGATGAATCAAAAAAGAAAGAGGGCCTTGGAATGTCAAGCTAACTCATTTGAATTTATAGAAAGTGAGGGAACCAAACATATTATGGTGATGGGCCTGCACAAGGTACTAACAGTCTCCTGGCTGGGACTGCCCTGCCCTCTCCAGATACCCCGGAAAACCTCCCCTTGCCAGGCCACACAGTGCTCACCTTGCCTCACCAGCCCCCGCTCTGAGGGCTTGGCAGCATTGACACTGTGTAGCTGCTGCAGCATTTCACCAAGGTGGCAGTCGACTGCCTCACTCGTCTCCTGAACTACTGGCTCCTCTTTTTCCCGGGGACGCTCAGGCACAGGGTTCTCCATGCCTAGGAAGAAGATGAGGCACAGTCATGCACAGGACCTGCTGCCACGGCTGGTGCTCTCCCCAGAGAAATGCTCTTTCAACTGTCATTGCTTTGGGGAAACTGAGTCAGTGCCAGGTTATCAAAGCAGCAGCTGCCATGTTCCCATGGCAGGCAGATGGTACTCACTAGTACCTCCAGAGCCAAGCAAAGGCCTCTATGAAGGCACCACGGCCACACACAGCCCCAGAGCTTCAGAAGCTCAGGCCTCTGACCCAATGGTGTAGCCCTATGGACACCGTATGCCACTCAGGAAGACAGCATGAAGGACCAGGTGCTTGGAGCTGCTGGGCTTCAAGCAAAGAACTAAAAGCATCTTCTGCATCCAAGAAGATGGGAGGACTCAGTAAATCAGAGCTCACCAGCAGGATGGATTCAGCAGGCCTTTAAATGAAAATAGCAGACTTGATGGCACAGTGGTTAAGTGCTTGGCTGCTAACCAAAAGGTTGGAGATTCAAACCCACCAGCCACTCTACAGGAGAAGGGTGTGGCAGTCTGCTTCCATAAAGAATTATAGCCCTGGAGAACCCATGGGGCAGTTCTACTGTTCTTTGGGGTCACTGAGTCAGAACTGACTCGATGGCAAGGGGTTTGTTTTTTTTTAAAAATGGAAATGTACAAAGGGAATTAGAAGAGATTTCCCACCCTAAAATTCACTTTATGTGCTTATATGTGACCAAAAAGAGTCTGAAAAGATACACACCGAAATTTTTAACACTGATTATATCTGAGTGGTAGGAACAGATAATTTTTATTTTCTTTATGCTGAAGTGTTTAGTTTTTTTCCCCCACCAACATGTGCTTTTCTTGTGTAATATGAAACTTTTCTTAAAACATTTCAAGATCAGAGTTTTCAAATTAAAAAAAAAAAAAGAACAACTATGCTGTGACAAGGATTTAAGTGTGAAATAAAATGCTTGGATTTGCTTTAAAATACGATTGCAATAAAAAGATGGAATAGATAAAGCAAATACAGCCAAATGTTGATAACTATTGAAAATGGATGATGAGTTCATAGAAATTCATCACACAGTCTGCTCTATTTTTGGATAAGTTTGAAAATTTCCATAATAGGTTTGTTTTTAAATGTGAGATGTTTAAAAATTAAAACCAAAAGGAGAAAAAAAAAATCTTAACAGCATTAGATTATAACCCAAAGAATAAAATAAATATCCATGAGTCCATCCCTACTGATACATGACCAAATAAATAAATGAGCAGATGGGGGAGAAGCAACAGCTCTTCCTTACAGAAGAATTTCAATTAATAAATGGAGGCAAGGGAGAGGAAAATCCCCATGAGAGCATTACAGTAATAACAGCTGCAGG